GTTTAGATTTATTTTATATTTCATATAAACAAAAGACTGTATTGTGATGAAAAGAAGTCCCTAAATATGTCATTTATCCTTAAATCTTTTAGTGTTGTTTCTGATACCCTCTGGGATACACGAATTTAACTCTGTTTCATGTATCTAGCACTTGCATACTTAATATTGTACTGCTAATAAAGTAAACCTTATTTTTATGCGAACATATTTTTGGAAGCGCTGAATTTACCTATACGGTTGGTTTATTTTCGAATTCTAGGCTCAACGATGTGTCCTTGAAGAGCGGAGCAGTTTTTTTAATGCTGCTCTTCGCAGTGGCATGTTCGAATCGATTACTGGACAGTTCTTCTTTCCCACTTTGTCAGCAAGACAAATTAAATATGTTGTCACTTATCTCCAAGACTGCAGTCAGCTTGTTTCCCATTATGCCTTCGATGAAAGGAATAACTCAATGCTTACCCTGTCAAAACTCTGCGAATCTCTATATTCTATACTCTTCTTGGCTGAGGCTGCCGAGTTTTTATTGATAACCACCATTCAGGAGCATTGCCTCGCTTATTTTCCTCTATTACTTAGAGAGATCCTTCAAAAAGCCCGGAATTCTATTGTTGACAGAAAGGAGAGTCGGTTGCTGCAATATATTTCTGAATTCCTATTTACTGAATACGCAGCGGGCTCTCTCATGAACAAAATTGTTCAGCTGATTCGTGATGCTGCACTTGACTTTCCATGCATTATTTTGCCCTATCTATTTCAATCAGTATCTAAATTTCCATCAGCTCCTGAATTACTTGTAGAACTTGTCTCTTCTGACCGGCTGTGCTTGCCTTCAGAAGACAATTTGTATGATCTTATTTTCTCTTGCAAGGTTTTTATTAACGATGCCTATGAAAAACGTCAAAGTTCTACGCATTTCTTGGACACCCTTGGAAAATGCATTCGACTTCCTCTTCTAACCAAGGCCTCGCTTCAACAACTTTTCTTGAGCCCCATTATTTCGAATGATTTTAGGTGCCTAGTTGAAAATGTGCTGCGCGATCTTCCGGTTTGTGAAGGTCCTGGCTTTCTTAACTGTCTAGTAAACCGAATTCCAGTTGGATTCCCTAGCTTGCTTTTCAAGCCGAGAGCGGATCGACCTATAGCTGTCGTTGTCACCATCGACTCCTCGATTATGCAGGGAGAGTTTATTATCATATGTCCAACTTCTGGTGCTGCTCGCCGTTTGACATTGTCTCCCGCAGATATGCTTTATTTAGTGCCTAGTGAAGAGGCTGCGATAGGTGAAATCTTTCTACATATGGTGTCCAGTGCCTGTGACATTCGGTCTTGTGGTGGAGCAAACTCGAGTTCCGTGTTTATTTTCTTCTTTCTTCCGCGATCAGCTACAGTCTCTGGGTTTTGTGTTTGCTTGGCCAGCCTGCAGGCCATTCGAATTCCCCGACTCTATTTGCCGCCCCCTCTTATCCATCAACCGGTTGGTATTATAGCACCAGTCTGCTCCATTATCCTGTATTGTCCACCCGAAGATTTGCCTTATATTTACTCCATCGTGCAAATAGGCCATGAGCTGCGGCTCTTTTTATATCACCTGGAGCTTGCGATAGATAATCTTCTAACCTGGCGACTAACTATGGATGCGCATCTTCTCGAGTTGCCAGCACGAGCCGTCTGTCGGTTTTACTTTCAATCGATGGCCACCCATTTTGCCTGTAAGAAAGGCTGGATATACGCTGGTTACATGCTTCAAGCGCCTGGTCTACATTCTGCATTCTCTTTAGGCCTGCTGCGTTTTTGCTTATCTACAAAGGAAGGAGATCGGCCCATGGTGATATTAGAGCACCTACCTCTTGGTGGGTTTGATCCTCGCTCTACCAGTCTATTAGCAATAAACGTTCCTGTTGGACTAAATAATAACGGTGAGTTATCTGCATAAATTAAAAATCACACTGCAAATTAACTTTTGATAGATGTGAACATGTTCTAGGTGACCCAGTTATAATCAAATAGGTTTAATTTCTGGGACAGATCTAATTATTCACGCCTATTTACAAATATTGATTACAAAAATTAAGTTTAGTGCGGACGTATGGCCCTAATCCAGCAAGTGAGAGCTATCGTAGGAAATAATATCAGGTCTATTTTTTTCAGTAAATGAACTTCTACAACCTACACAGCTCAATTTGCTTCCAATGCCTAAGGTTACAAGCATTTTTTTGTTTATCCATCAATCTTTACATTGTTCTTTAAATGTGTACATAATACGCGATAAATTGAGCGTACAAGAACCTATAGACTGGAGAGCCTCCAGCATTAGTTGTTTGTAATAATTATAATATGGAAGACTTAAATAGACTTGGATAGCAATGCTTAAAGTGTAATATTGACGCTTCAATCTGAAAATTTAGTAATCCTTACAACAAGCTGTTCTTCACTTTGATATGATATAATTATGTTGGTATATCTTTCATTTGTTTGAAGGGGCGAGTGAAAGCCTCATCAGAAGCAGATGGAGGATTTCCTTGAAGTTGCGAATGTAGATTTGTGCTGAATTTTGGTCTGTCATTTGACAGATATCGTCAAAGAGTACCATGATTTGTGATGATTTACCAGAAACAAGGGTAAGAAAGGTGTACTAATCTTCCACTTGTACAATCTACACATCATACTAACTATTTCGCTTTGGATCACTATATAGCGTCCTGTGTGAACCATATGTTATGCCAGTTCTGATTTTTGAGACCTGCCGATTCATATATAAGTAGTTATCTGG